ATGGGTTTGGCAAATAAAGGCTTCTCAGAAATTAATACAAAGTCAGTAATTAGCAATGTAAATTAAGTTTGCGGTTCCCTAAAGGTGGTTGTGCTAAGAATTTTAGCACCGCTTTGATACAATGTAAGTCAGTCTTGAAACCAAGCACAAGCAGTATAATAGTCTAGTTAAAAATCCAAAAGCCTCAATTATCAAGCAAGAAACACAACTATTATCACTGTGCTTAACAGACACTTATAATTTAAAACACAAGCTTGCAATTTGAAAATTGAAAACAATTTTTCTGAGTCACTAAGATAACTCCTTCCTAATCACTCAGTGAACTAAGATAATTATTATTTTGTTCAGTTAGGTTTTCATTGATTATACTTGCCTTAAAAGACTTAAAATTAAATTGCATTAGGTGGGGGGAAACCGTAGTTATTCTCATAATGGGTGGATGAAGTCCATTATTTTAATATTTGCCCTGTCAACATCAATGAAAACTGACCGTGATTATGTTGCATGCGTACTTGGTGTGCCTTGATTTTCTTTGGTAGTTCAGTATCAAAAATATGAGAAATACAGGTGGTATGTGATGGTACGCCTTGAGCGTTTATGTGGTTATCTGTGTGTCAAAGTATATGAGATCTGTTTGGAGAAGGAGGTATTATGGTTTCAAAGACTGTTAGTATCTGTCTAAGAATCACTAGGTACGTTTTCATTTTCAAAAAGTTTGCTTTTATAGTGCTCCAAATTGTTATCAGGGAGCACCAGTGAATTCAATATTGACACTTTCCTACTCTCAATATTGCAAGCACTCTACTTTCTGTTGTAATTATGACAAGTCCCAACTGACTCCCAAGTCAGTCTAGAATGTGTACATTATTAATGAAAGGAAAAATTAAGCTGCTAGCATAATGTTCACTTCTTTCAAGTTACTAGCAGGTAGAGATATGTCATATTAAGCATTGAAAATTATATTGTTAGAAAAGATATATAGTGGAGTACTACTCTGCTATAAATGATGGACTTGAGTGTTTTGTAGAAAATGTACATGTATCGAGACTATAATATTCAGGGAAATTAAAAAGACACACAAGCTTAAACATGACAGCTTCTCTTACATGAGAAACCCAAAATATAAATGTATTAAAGGGGAAAAAAGGTAGATAATAAGTAACAAGGAGATAGATCTTTTGCAGAAGAGGAGGTGGCCGAGAAGGGGAGAAGGGTGGTGTGATGAGAAATGTACAGCATGTGCTATGTGCCTGCACCAGCTCCCCATGAAGAATGTAATAATTATGTCTGGCAAGCATGTAGTAATCAAAATAAAAAATAAGAAAAGGAGAAAGATGAATGATCTTGGGAAAAAGATGTACAAGGAGGATGCCCCTAATGTTCTCCAAGTAGTGTCACTCTTTACATTGTTTAAATGTAAATAGCTTGTTCTTTTCTCTTAAACATGGTGATTTACTTTATGATTTTCCTAAAATTTCTATTATATTTTTAAAAAATTCCTCAGCAGTCTGGTGCATGTAGATGTTTAAGCCTTCATAATTCAATATAGAGATAAAGGATATTTGACTATGTCAATACCATGAGCATTCTCAGTGGAGTAAGATGACAATTGAATCGGATGGGCTCTTTAGGTGCGTGTCACACACAGAGAAACTTCTGCAAAAGCTGGAGACATTTTAAAGACCCTTGGGTTTGTTGTTCCTCATGGTTCTGGCATCTATTTTACTTTATTTTATTTATTTACTTATTTATCTGTTTACTTACTGTATTTTAGGGAAGGGTCTACAGGGTGTTCAGGGTATCACTGCTGGATCAGACTCATAGTCATCTGCCTGTTTACAGCCTCCCAAGATGGCATCTATTTTAAATAGTCAAGGAAATTCTATGTGTCATTTTTACTTCAAGTCCAATATTAACGGTAGGGAATGATAGAAGTTCGGGCATGTATATACTGAGGTACCAGATTTCTCAAAAGTGCATGTGGCATGGATGCAAATATGTCAATAACTTAGGTACATAATTACTTTTTAAAAATTTGTATAAAATACATTAACAAAAGTTACATATTTTCTAACATGGCTATTTCAAAATGCTTCTGAGTATCCACATTAATTTCCAACTTAACTGCATAGTAGTTACTCAGTGTTTATGTACATGTTAAAATTTTCTCTCCTTAAGGCTGGCCAGATAGCTCAGAGGACTAAAGCTCCTGCTTAGGCAAGCACTAGGGAATGGGGTTCTATCCCCATGCTGTGCTGGCCCCACCGCCAGGGCACTTTGAGACAGTGCCTGGGCCTGGGTGTGGTGTAATCCCAGCACTTGGGAGGCTGAAAACAGGAGGATCACTAGAGTCTGATCTGTGTAGTGAGACCTGGTAGACCCTGTATTAAAAACATTTTTTTTTCCCTCTCCTGTAGTGGTTTTCTGTTTGGCTTACTTTGGAGTATTCTGGTTTAATACAGAGCTTGCTGAGGTGAATACAAACTTAGGACAGTAGTTACAGTGTGATTTTTCAGGTTTAAAGTATCTGGAACATCAGAAGGGATGTATTTCTTCAGCATTTCAGACTGGGCCAGGAGCACCTTCTCACTGTCGCCTTTGAGTGAAGGCGGCAAAGTATCTTTTAATGCAAGAAGGCAGTGACTGATATAACAGGAAAGGAAAAGCATGCCTAGAAATGTATAATACTGTTAAGATGAAGAGGTTTCTGCAGTACCAACAATGTCCTTGTTGACAAGTGTTCTCTTGGCTTGTATTTTACATTCCAAGAGTCCAAATGCTAAAGAAATTAAACACTTTTGATATCCTCAGGAAAAGTGGTGCCTGAATTTATTTTATTTTATTTATTTATTTTTTTCTGGTCCAGGGATGAAACTCGGTACCTTGCATTTTCCTGGCAGCCACTTAGGCTGCTGAGCTACCACCCTCGCACTCAGTTCTTTTTGAGAGCAGGCATCTTCTGGTTCATTATATTTTTTTGTTTACTTCTGGCAGGATTCACTTCAGCAATATTCAAAGCCTTTATATTAGATTTTTAAAAATATAGAAAAATACAGTCAAGTATTTCATAAACACAACGAGACAACGTAGTTTATCATTACTTTAAACTCTTTAGCTAATTCTCAGAGAGAATAAACAGCATACCCTGCTCTCATCTTCACTGGTACCAAATAAAGGTACCACCTTACTTCATTGATTCCAAATAAAGACATATCCAACTTTTGCTTAGGTAGTCTTCAAAATAAATAGAGCACATGGCAACAAGTTTTCTTAATTATGACATTTATATATAATGCCAAACATGGTGATTTTTCACTGTGTTTTAAATTATGTATAAAAAAGGAGAATTTTGTCCTTTAACAAAAACTGCTGTTTTTAAAAAGTTCCTTTTAAAATCTACACGAGGATAAAATATAGAAACATTGAAGAATTTTTCAAATTTTAATTGGCAGTTTTTGCTTTTCATTTGAGAGTGGTTGAAGCTCAGAAAATAGTATTATCCTGCTCAAAAAAAAGGCCCCAAAACAAAATATCAACAACCAAAACCCTGACTTATTTTTCTTATATCTGAGCTACTTGTTTACTGTGTATGTCTTTCTCTGTAAATAATTTGATACATTGAATTTTCATTTAGTACATCTGATATCTGATATTTTTAAAATATCTAAAAAACATCTGAACCATTTTCAAAATAACATATAAGATAGCAAAACTCAGAAAGGGACAGAATCTGCTTTAATTTAATTGAGAACTTTTGCCATATATGTTCAGCTAATAGCATGCATGAGAAAAACTAACATCCCATCATAGTTGAAATAATTTCATGGGATTGTTGATACATTTTAAGTAAAAATTTTGTCTAATATTATTCCCATCTTCTGAATGACTTACATTAAAAAATATTTGTTCAGATATATTAAACATTCTTTATATAACTGATTTATTTATATCATTTAAAATTGAAATCTTCTGTCCTTATAGTTTGAACTCATATAACATTCATGGGAAACTAGTATCATTAAAAAATCTTTCACTAATCAATTTTTGTTTCTATTCAATACATTTTATAAAATTATAATAAGTCAGCTGGTACTTGAAAATCTCATTTTAAACTAAAATATGAATATCTTATTGAACTTTGTTCATTGGCATCAAACATTAGGTATAATTACACACAGATGAATGAATAATTATTAAAAGTCTAACAAAAGTGAAGATTCTGGCTTGCATTTTTCATTGGCAATCATTCAAATTACATCACTACAATACTTATATAAAAATTAAAATGTTTTCAGTATTTCCAGAGAAATAAAGCTTAAGAAAAGTAGATTTTTGTACATAATATGATCTCTTAACCCATCTCTTTCCATAGAAGGAAATTTAATATTCTAAACTGAATTTAGTATTTTAAGCAGTATTTAAATATTTAAAAATATTTCTTATTTCATATGTTAGTTCTATAGGATTTTACATGTAATCCTCTGTTAATAGAAGGAAATTTTGCACTGAACTGTCTGATTATTTTCCTTTTTTAGTAACTGTAGTATAATAAAATATTTTTGTACTTCAAACTATTGATCTTTATTATCTTCATCATTTTCTTATTTTCTTTCATAAAATTTGCTGTGCAATTTTTGCTTTTGTAACATTTAACATCACTTAATTAAAAATCAAGAAATTCCAAAGTTTTCATCTTTACTACTATGTGATATTATATAACATATAAACATACTGACAAGAAAGCTTCCACTTACGTGATTTACTGTGTGAAAATAGAACAGGTAATTCTGAGTAGATATGAAATAGAATTGTCATAATATATATTTGGTATCCATGAAAAGAATTATAATCTGTTTTCTTAATCTTTTACATAGAAAATCGAAATACAACTTTTTCCCACATGCCACTTGAATACAATGGCCATTTGTGCACCACGCACATGTACACACACACACACACACACACCCCTATAGTAATGAAACTCTTTTGAATTGAATGTGTTTGGATGCCCCACAAACTTAATCTTGTTGCTGATGGATATCTTCGTGCCTAAGAATTTTATAGATAACCCAGTAAAAAATGTTGAAAATGAGAAAAGCTAATGGGAAGCAGGCTCTGGAGATGGTGTCAATCTTCTTGGCCCTATCGATGAAGACCTTTCTCATTTCTTCAGGGCTTTTCGGCCTTCCCTGGACAGTGTGGCTCGGGCCCTTGGCAGTCACACCATCTTTCGCTTGCAGGCATGGACCCATTCCATAGGCTGTGAAGCTGAGCTGACTTTCTCTCACCTCATCATCCTGTTTAAAAAAAAAAAATGGAGGAGCACATTTTAGGGATGGAATGCGGCACCCACAGCAGGCTCTTTAGCGTCATAATTTAGGTTTCATCATGATATATATTTACAGCAATAAAAGGAAAGATAACGGAAGCATGTGTAGAGTTGTTTCATTTCTTTTGAAGTTTTATCTTATTTATCCTACTGCATCGATGTCTCATTCATAAATCCCCTGAAAGATACATTTTAATGAAAAGGCAAAGTTTGATATTATTGACATATTGGTTGAATAGTTAAATAAAGAGTTAACATTTTAAAAAGTCATTGGGATATTGTGTCCTATATTTCATATGCTGCATGTTTTTGCCATTTCTTGTCTAAATGTATAAATATGTTATGTCACAGGGGAAAATACCAGGATCATTGCCTGAATTTTTCTTTATCATGGAGACAAGCTTTAATACTTGTTTCCTACAATTCTAAGTTACTTCCTTAGAAAACACACTGTAGCACAATAACATGCCTTGGACTTTGTTATTGTTCCTTACTGCTACTCCGATTTCACACTAATCCTTCTGAAAGAACTATACCTTCTTATTTGCATGAAGTTACCTTTCAGGCATTTTGGTTTGGTCAAAATTGAAATTAGACAGTTTACTTTATGTTTACAGTATAAACTTGGTATAAACTTATTCACAATGTATGTTCTTCTAAAAGTTATAATTACTTTTAAATGATGAAAAAATAATAAGTATCTTTAATATATGAGAAAAATGTAAAAGAACAATTATTACATAATAAGATACGCTTATATTAGTGACGTGGGTTATTTAAAAATTCATTTTGGACTTCATTAGAAAAATTTAAGACATTTATTTCAAATGTGACTCTATATAGCCATCAATGAAAAGGGTATACTTGTCCCTAAAATTGAAAATGAAAGATAAGAGTATATTTTATAAGGTTATAGCTCTCCTATTCTGGTATTATTTTTTAGTATCATAAAGATAAAAATAATTGGCCAAAAGATTGAAAACTACTTAAAGTCTGTAAAAGTAGTTGTTCAATGAGCAGTATACTGTAAGTATGACAGTGAAAAAGTTATTGTTATAACTTCTAAAAGTGGGAAAATAACCAAAGAAGATTCAGTAATGTATAAAGTAGTTTTTTAAATTAAGACTATAAATTATGACTTTTTCATATGACACCTGGAAAAGAACCCGTATATTTATTGAAAAAATATTTCAAGCAGAAGGTGTCCATAAGCAATGGTGTGAGCAAAAAAGTGTGAAGCAAAAAAGTGTGAAATGAGTTGAAGATGAAAATTACCTGAAAATAAAGCTGCCCTTCCAAATCATACATGTGGTTACTATTGTAACAGCAAAAATTAGAAATAAAGCTTCTGGAATTATCTAGTATCATTCATTCAAACTGCTATGTTTTTGGATTTCTGAAGATTTATGGCAAAGTTACTGATTATGTTAACATTTTCTGTGTCCTGAATAAAGACTTCTGTATTACAGATTAATCCAATATTATCTATGTGCCCAAATAAGATCCTGACAATCAAATCAGTTATGATGGTGCTCAGAAAGAAAATGTAGGTCAGCTGAGTAATTGGAACTATTTTGTGTGCAAATCATCTGAATGTTCTCCTTTAATATAGAACTTTGAACTGTCAACCCACGTGTTTAAAAATGCTATCTTAAAATGATAAAAGATAACAGCATGTACGTATGTTGGTATGTTAGATGAAATAGTTGGCAAATCAATGACAAAATGCTAAAATTTCAGCGTTTGACCTGTTTGCTAAGGCAGAGTTCACTGACTGCCTTTCTAACCATTTCTTCCGGAAACATTACATTAAATCCCTTGGAGACCACAACTGTTCATTTCCAAATGGAGAAAACAAATTTACAGTCAACACATACAGGAAACAACTAAAACTTTCACAGTTGTGTCCTTCTGCATAGCTGACTGTGTGTAAAGAGTTAACATCAGCCCTGGCTGCTATAGGACTGCGTAGAATGACCTCTGCTTGATATAGCAGCATTTCCTTGAAAACAATGGAGTTCTGCTAAAGGAAATTAGAGTCTGTCTCATGGAAGGGCTGCACCTGCAGCGGACCTGGTGGAGCCGCATGCCAGGGAGATCTTTGACCCATGTGTCTGCATAGTATATACATGTAATTCAAAGCAAAGGGGTTGACCTCTGTGTGTCACACAATCCTTGACTTTTGTGTCTGCATGTCCTTTGGGTGAGGGACAAAAGAAACAGTGCTTTTGGGAAACTGCCCCATATCCCATGTGATGCAGATACTACAAGGATGTTAGGTTTTCTATATCATGTCCTCCTCTAGAGCTGAATAAATTTAATCCTATGGTAAAACCTTTTAGTATCTGGACACTCTGAGTGACAACTTGAATCTTAGATCTCAGAAGTGAAAAGAAGGTGGTCAGGCTTTAGAATCTTTTTTTGGCTTTATATGACCAAGAATTTGGGGACTTTTTCATCAGATGAGATTCTGATGCTCATCTATGCTAGACTGCAGGTAATGAGAACTGCACAAAGTAATTGGACATAAATGTGGCCACTGGACAACATAGATTTGTTCCCTGCTAGAGTGTTGGATGGATGGTCAGTCAGAAAAAATTCAGGATGGTGTGGCTCATGAAGAAATTGGTTCCTATTCCCTGTTAGTTAATCAGTCTTCATGAAGCTGAAATCATAGGGAGGGAAAAATATAACAAGTAATGCGGCTTCATGACCTGCGCTCAAAATAAAAACAGAAGCCCATGTGGCAGTTGGAAAGATATACTTAAACTGGATGTCACTCTTCTGAGAAATCCTGCACAAATTGACACTAGAAATGAGTATGTCAGGTGCAGCTCCATCCCAGAAAAACATGTGAGCCACAAATGAGAGATGTGTAATTTAAAATTTTGCACTTGTATAAATTGAAACAGGTGAAATTGATTTTAATTGAAAAGATTCAATGTCATATGTCCAAAATATTATTTCAACATTTGCTCAAAGTAAAAATTGAGATGGGTTACATTTATTATTCCTTGACTTAAAATCTTGAAATCTAGTATGAATTTTCTGTGCATCACTTTCACTTTCCTGGTTCTCAGTAGCCGCATATGGTTAGTAGCTACCTAGTTGGGTGAAAAAACTCTAGTACAAAGGACCTGGTTCACTTGGCTGAGAAGTGTGGGCAGATCTCCAGGTAAGATCTCCAGATCTCTGTGCTTCATGGAATCTTTAGCCTTATTGGCCTTAGAGCTAATGCTATATTTTGGTTGCTGTGGCATGGAAGGACTGTTGCCCAGGCTGTCCTCACACTTGTGATGCTCCTGCTGCAGCTTCCCAAGTGTTGGGATTACAGGTGCCCTACTGGAATGTCTCTTTTTAAAAGTTGATGTGTTATGTGTCATAGTAAACCTGAGCTGGCCATATAATAATCAGAAATAAATTGACCCAAACCATATCCTCTCACTTAAACTCTGGCACACAAACTGTGGTTATGGGAGTCCCTTATGTACGTGGTCTTCCTCTTGAGAAAACAGGAGGGCAAATACATTCATGGTCACATTTACTCTGGCAGCATCCATGGTGGGTTTCACGGCTAGGAAGAAAATTTAGGCTACTCAAAAGAAAAATGACAACCAGAGGTAAATCTATTACTTCTCCTTAGGTGGCTGTTGAGACACAAAAAGAACACAGTGAAAACTAACAGGATTCCTATGAGCAACTTCCTGGTGCATTTGTGACCAGCTGGGTGGGAGGAAGTCTGTTTCAATTCCAGCAGCTGCCTCCCCTAAGGAACCCTGTTAGATCTGTGGTTCCTTTCATCTCAGAAGTTAAATCCAAAGATGCCAGTGGGGAACGGGAACAAAAGACACTGACTGACACTGGTTGTTAAATTTACCCATCAGTGAAAAAATTTGGAACTGAAAAGGACAGACTTGAAGAGCATGATCTCGTCTATTTTGAAAGGTGCTCCAAGGCTTTACCATAATTATGGTTGAATCACCAAGATTAGTACATTTTTTAAAAAGTATTGTATATCAGTGTAAAATATGATAAAAATGGTCAGGGAATAAGAGTGTAATATGAGGGGTGAAGGAGAAGCTGGTAGGACAGGTGACTAGCTATGATACGTGTCATGACCATGCCAAAAGCTATATGTAGGAGAAAGAAGTGTGATATGTGCTACAGCTGGTATTGTCTTTGGCTAACGTACAGCTGAAAAAGATGAGAAACAAAGGAAAGAGTGCACCATTTCTAACTTTAATCTTCGTAATGTCATTCCTTAGCCCAATTTTTATTGGCTGTGTTAAAATGAGAGCATTTACAACCACCTAATCTTTATCTGTAGTAAATACTAAACAGTATAAAAGTTCAGGAAGAAAATTGGAATGTCTCCACTCTGCTGAAAAATTTGCAGAGGTACAAGGGCTAATCTTTATCATTTCTCTTTAGGATACCTCTCTGGCCAATGGGGAAACTACAAAGATCCTTAATAATAAGTTTTTATAAGTCTAGGTGATTCTTTCATGATGAGTGCTAAATACTTGTGCTAAGTAAAAAAAATTCCGCCAATGGCACCCACCGGACTGGAGGCAGGCTCAGCAGGACAGTGAGGCAGAGGGGATTGATGGATTTGGCTGATGTTTCTTATGTTTTCTTTTTAATTCCAGCCTGTAAAAATGTCAAGCACAGCGTGCCTTCATGTAGAGCAGACAGTTTTTCTCTTCCTTTGTGCCCGATGGGAAACTGGTTTCTGCACTATGCTGGTCCAACCCAGAAGGAACAGCTGGGTGCAGATCACTCAGAGATAAAAGGCTATCAGCGTGATGATGGGGAGAATTTGGAGACTGAAGCAGCAGATGTGATTAGGTGAGGGCGGCCAGTGAATCTTGGTAAGGTGCAAGGCCAAGCCTCACTGGCCCTCTGCCTGGGAACAACCAGGCTTGAGACTGCTATAGATAATACACAAACACGAAAAACCAAACTTTG